TTAATATATTTGGTTTAAACTTTACAGTTATTTATGAACATACTTAAAAAACAAAGAACAGAGAAGTAAATTTTTTTGATTTTCGTTTCATTTTTTTTTTTGTATGCATGTATACCAAATAAAAAAAGTTTGATGGTGAAAAGAATAACGCAATAAAGCGTCTTAAGAAGAACACTCGATTTTGTTTCAAATCTTTTCCTTTTAAAATTTATAAATAACATATGTATACAAAGCTTCATATTTTTGTTAACATTTTTATCCCAAATAAGCTGCAAATTTTTTAACCATTTAAAAGCCCAGATATTTTCATTAAGCAATGTTCAAAAGACTTTTCTTAAATATGTATTTATTTTCAGAAAAGTTTCTCAATTTTGCTCGTTTGTTATTTAACATTTTCTTAAATTTAAAGAAATCTTCAATATATTTTGCTTAATAATGTATGTACATAATATGTAATAATTCTTTGGATTTTATTTGTTGTGTTACTCCTTTCACCACCAAGTTTTTTTCGCGCCATAATATTATTTAAACGTATACAGCATACTAATATTAGCATAATTATAAACTTAACATATACATACATGTATATTTAAACTACAAATCTAGTAATATTTTGTAAAAAATAGTAAATATCAATAGACTTCTTGCAAATTTTAATATTTTTTGGGAGGTTCTAGCATAATTAAATGTGAAATAGTAAAATACACTTGATTTCAGTTGGAATTTGAGCAAAATCGGCGAGATTTTTAAAAAATATTGAATAACGTGGCAGTATTGAAAGGAACTTCGAAGAGTGAACTTTAATTGTGAATTTAGTTAATGTAAATCAAAAATTAGCAACAATAAAAATAGCACAAAAAATTAAAAAATAGTGCAAACAAATTAAAACTAGTGCAAATAAATTATATAACAGTGTAAACAATTTCAAAAGAATTAAGAAAATTTTTACAAAAAATAAAAAACATATTTAAGAGGTATGTTCATATACATATATAATATATAAATGCATATATAAGTACATATATATATGTATGCATGCGGGTAAACATAAGCCTAAATATTTTATTTTTTGCAATTTTAAGGTTTATAATTTTCAAAATATGGACGTTGAGGCTTTTTTCGTCTATTTGGTGGAAAAAGGTATTAATAAGGATGTTGCAGAAATTTTGAGAAGTAAGAAAAATATTATTTTTAAAAAATATTAATTATTTTTTATTTTTTTTTATTTTAACTGTAATTTTTCCGCGTCATTTTACGCACACACTAATCGACGTTTATATGTATTCGTGTAATTTTTTTTTATTTTAAATTTAGATTGCAAAACTGAAAACATTGATTCCTCCAGAACAAAACTTCAATCGTATAAAATATTTAATGAACGAGACATTTTAAAATCGTAGATTTGAAGTTGGATATTTAAACATATTGGATACTCACCTAACATTCCTTGCCTACAAGGGCACAATTGTAAAAATCGCAAACTAATTTATGAGTGCTTTTTAAAAGTTGCTTTTAATTTCTAGATTGAAAATGGATTGGAGCTCTTAAAAGGTAAAAGATTTAACATTCAAGTATTGGAAAACCTTAACTTAGAACCATTTTATAGGAAGGAAACAGAATTTCTCCAATATGGTGAGTTTCGATATAAATTTAGCTAAAAAACTCAATTAACTTATTATTTTTCAATTTTTTAAGAATCTTGCTGCCAAAAAGAAATTTGAAAAAAAACTAATGTTTTGATTGCGATAAATTTAGATGATTGGGAAAAACTTGTTGCAGAGGAAGATTTAATATCCCTCGTTTTAGAAATTTATGTGAGATATAAGAACTGCTTTGTCCTTTTTTAGATTTTTTTTTTTTTTAATTTAAGTAATATATTTGTTTACAGATTAATGCTAATATAGAAAATGTTTTAGATAACGAGAATAAGCAACCGTATCTCGTTTACAGATGTACTGAAAAATTTTCACGCCTGACTGAAAACATTTATTTAGTAATTGACGGAAAAATTATGGAGTGCGCAAACGATTTTCTTACAGTAAACATTATCTTTTTCTTGTAATTTAAAATTTGATAAAAAAATTTTGAAGTTGTTAAATTTTTTCGAAGTTTATATATACAAAATGAAAAATGTAAAATGGTACTGTTTCGGTGTTATATTAAAAAATTATCAATTAATGTTATTTAGTGTTTGGTTATATTATAAAATTTTTATAATTTTATGTATGTAAATGTTGCAAAATGATATAGATGACAAATCATTTAAATACACCTTATAATAATATTATAACAAATACACAGAAATGTAATACAACATGTAATACTGATATCACAACTTCAAAAATAAAAAAATGTATTTAAAAAAATATATTGCTATGTTAAATTTAAATGAAAAAACGTAAGAACATTATCATAAAACATTTTGTCAAACGCTATAAAAGTTAAAAATAAAAACCATAATTTGTTATGTAAGACACAAAAATTGTTATTTTTCTATAAAATGTCATTTATATTGCTTGAAATTTTTTGTGATGAGTTTCCTAAAATAACTTTAAAAATTTGTTATGAAATTAGAAATATTACAACTACAAAAGTTTTAACATTAGAATTTTCGAAAATTTTGGTTTAGCCAAACTGTAGTTAGGTAGGATATAAATCTGCTTAATATATCTATCCAATGCCATAGGATAGATGTATTTCACAGATTTTCTATAATTATCCTATAGAAATTGACCATCTTTTTTAATTAGAAATCTGTTCCTAATTACTAGAAACAGGTTATTTAAAAAACTGGAAATCCAAAGTTTCTCTTCAGGAAATCTATTTGAAAAAACTAGAACTATGATGAAAAATGAAATAGTTGTCTAGTTTTATTCAATAGTAATATATTGACATTTACTGGAAAGTGATTACTATTGTTATGGAAATTCTAGTCTTTATTATGGAAAATCTAGTTAAACTGCCAAGAATACCGTAAGAAATCTAAAAGATTTTCTTGCTTATTTCACTAGGCATTTTCTTAATTTCTCTAGTAATCCTCTTATTTTCACTAGAAGGTAGTCTCTCAAATTGTTGGGAATTCTAGCATTTATCATTGGAAGTCAGGTAAAACAAGCAAGTGGTTCTAGAAAAAATTAATGTGCTTTCTAGTTTTTTTTATCACTGTAACTCTGTGTGTTTTCACTAGAAATCAGGTAACTCTCATAATGGAAATTCTGGTAATTTTTCACAGGGAATCTAATTAAGTTATCTAGAATACCGCAAAAAAATTGAACCGATTTTCCAGCGTTTTTTATCAATATACTGTTTTTTTTCACTAGAAACTGGTTACTTAAAATACTGTTAATTCTAGTGTGCTTCATTGAAAATGCAGTTAAGTTATATGAAATACTAGTGAAAATAAAGAGATTTTCTACTAGAAATAGTTTTCGGATTCTTATTAAACGTAGTTGTCCAGATAACTAGAACTCTAGCTTTTTCAATGGCAATTCTAATTAAACCTACTAGAATATCAGTGAAATATTAAACTAGACAATCTATTGATTTTTTTTTCACTAGAAAAATCTAGGAGCGCAACTCTAGTTGTATTTTACTTGAATCTAGTTGAAAAAAATTTAGTGTGTACATATTACAAAAGCATGTATTTAACATTCAATATTATTAATTATATAAGTACGCCTCCAGATTACAAAAGATCATAAGAATTAATAAAACTTAAACGTAATATTTCTTAAAATAACTTGAGAGTCTCATAATGTAAGAATTTCATGAATTTCATTCTCTGTCTATATATGAGAAAAGTGAACTCGGAAGAGTATTTCTATTGTAAATTTCCCGTTTTCTCCAGGAATTTGATTTGACATTTTCTTATAATGTTTTGTAACCTTGTATCAATTGGTATTCTACTACATAAGTACCACTTTATTTATATCAGAGGTTCCCAAACTTTCCCCCCTCGTAGACCCCTTGTCGTGTTTTTGAATCTTTGATAGACCCCCTTAATACTTATTTAATTAAATTCATATTTTTTTTTAGACCCCTTTTTAAGATCTTTATGGACCCCTGCGGGTCTATATAAACCGCTTGGGAATCATTGATTTATGTAAACCATTAATTAAGAATAAATATTTTATATTTGAATTATGTAAGTAAATTACTATAAATCTGTAAAAATTATTAATCTGAAAAAAAAAATTTAAAATAATTAATTACATTAAATTTGTTCTTCTCTTTCTTTTAAATTTTGTAGTTTTATCTAACCACCCTTAAGCTGCCTAAATCCTAATAATTATAAAATTAAATTTTCTCTTCCTTTCTGTTACGATCAGTATCCTTAAACAAAAGATTAAACGGCAAGTAATTTCAACTTTTAAATTATATTAAATTTTGTGTTATTAAATTCATAATATTTAGGTTCGTAATAAGCTCAGTGGTAAATTATATAACAGTTTTCCTGCAACTGATTATTTTACAGCCGATTATAGTTATATTCGAAATTATCACGAAATTTACACAATTTTTTACTGTTTAGTTTATGAAAACTAATCAAAAACCAAATTTTTATGAAACAAAATCGGGTACTTTACAGGAGGTTTACAAAATATACACAGTCTTGCCTAAAAACAGTGCATTAGAGAAGCCTCATAAGCAGCCTCAGTTTGAGATCCTTCTTTCTATTAGTGTCATTTTTTTAATACATTGGAAACTTAAGGGTTTCGAATATAAATAAGAAATAGGATAAAAATTAAAGAAAGTTTCTATTTTTTCAACTATTTATTTTTTTTTTTAATTCATTTAAAAATTTCTAAAAAAAACAATCACAAATAACTTGACGTTCCCATTTAATTTCATCATTTCCATTCCAATATTTCAATATAATAACGATTCAGAATTCAATTCAGTTTAATAACGACGTCTTTGTCTGTAGACGCGACGATTTCTGAATACACGACGTTTAGCTGTTTTATAACGGTAACCTTCATCTTGTGAGAAACTGTGAGCTGGTGCTGCATCATGTACTGGAGCTAAATATTCACGGCTTGGTTCAACACCACCACCAATAGCACCGCCAGCAAATCCACCACCAACTGAACCGCCACCAAAACTTCCACCTACAGCACCACCACCTTCAATTGGTGGTAAATATTCATTGGAAAGTTCTGAGACATCGGCAACTGCAATTGCTACTAAACAGCAAACAATAAATGATTTTACAAACTACAAAAATAAAAAGCAAATTAATTCGAAACCAAAATTATATTAATCCTTTGAATAAAGTACCATTTTTGATATTTTCTATAGAAATATTGTTTAATCTTCAACTGAAAGTTTCCGAATGATTCTAATAAGAATTTTTCGATTCAATTTATAGCAAATTCAAAATAATTTTGCTAAATTTTAATATTACCAAAAGAAAAAATTAAAACCACTATAAATCACTATTAAGGTTTTTTTTTGTTATCGTTGTTGTTGTTGTCGTACTCTTCTTTTACTTCTTCAACACTAACTTGTTTGACCAACTTTTGTTTTTTTGTCTTTGACATTTGAATTGAATTATCAAAGCAAAAAAACAAAAAAAAAAAACAAAATTAATAACAAATCGCAGAAAAAAAAAAACAAATATGAAGATTAAAAAAAAACACAAAAATAAAAACTGTAAAACAATAAGTTACTGGTAGCGAGCTCTTGATGATCAATCTAATCCCATTGTTAAAGCCTTTTATATTCCATTTAAAAAAAGATTAATTATGTGATATAATTAGTTGATTATTAAAATCATATAAAAATTTTTGCTCTAAATACGTGAGAATTTCATAATTATGGAAAATTTTCTATATGTATATTATTTAATGGAATAGGATTTTATAAATAGGAAGGTTCAAGATCCTATTCGAAATTCTCTTATGTAATATTGAGGAATTTTTCGACAGGATGACTTAATTTATATTTGAATTAAAATGGTAACAAAAACAGCTCACTATGTAAATTTCGAGTTATAAACTTATCTAGTAAAATATAGGGGGCGATAATGTATAATATATGAGAGACATAATAAGATTTATGAGAAAGCGATGCATGACACTTAAGAAGGTAGCAAATCTAATATAAATTATTTAAATAAATTCTTAAATTAACCAGTATATTCATATTTCTAGCTTCTTTATTGCTTATTAAAATTGTAATCGAATTAAAATTGCACAAATTTAAGGCAAATTTAAGCTACTAAGAAGCATTTCCGGGATATAATGTGACTTAAAAAATTTCCACTCTTTTTGAGGTGAAGTTGAATAATTATTATTAGAGTTGAATTATTTGTACTTTTTAAATAATTAAGAAAACATTTGATTTTGATTAAATTATAAAAATTTGAATAAATTAATTTGTTAATTTTCCTCATAAAAATTAATTATCCTCCCATAATACTCTTACAGGAACAAATTTAATTAAATTGAGAGACGTTTTACAGTTATTATTGTTATGAAGTATGTGTTGATTGAGAAAATTTGTACGTGGTATGTGACATGTAGCGCACTGCACGCTTTTAATATTAACTTGAAATCGGAAAATTTCCATTGAACACTCAACAAAATTATTTTAACTAACAGTAACTGTTTAAATAATAGCAGGAAATAAGACGATCACATCACAATTTCTTTATACAAAATTATTATTATTTTTTTTTATTAGAAACATCACAATATTATTGAAAATTTATATTCCTTATTTATACGATATTTAAATAGGAAAATACTTTGAAAAAATTATTTTGAATTTCAATTTTTTTTTTTATTTAAAAACGACGTCTATTTCTGTAGACACGACGATTTTTGAATACACGACGTTTAGCTGTTTTATAACGGTATCCTTCATCTTGTGAGAAACTATGTGCTGGTGCCGGTTCTGGAGCTAAATATTCACGGCTTGGAGCACCACCATGTGAAATACCACCGCTGAAACCACCACCACCGATAGCTCCGCCACCAAAACCTCCACTATGTCCACCACCGCCGCCGCTGCTAAATCCACCACCGCTACTGAATCCACCACCACCAATTGCACCTCCACCATGACCACCACCACCAAATCCACCACCACCGAATCCACCTATTGCACCGCCATGGCCGCCACCTCCACCACCTTGTACTGGTGGTAAATATTCATTTGATAATTCTGAAACATCAGCTACTACAATTGCTAATAAACAGCAAATACCAATTGATTTTAGAAACTAGATTTGATGAAAAAAAAAATTCAAAATTAATTCGAATCCAAAATTATTAATCCTTTGAATAAAGTACCATTTTTCGAATAATTTTTTATATTTTTCTATATAAATATTGTTTAATCTTCAACTGTTGGTTTCCGAATGATTCTAATAAGAATTTTTTGATTCAATTTATAGCCAATTACTCAACTAATATTTGAGACGTCCATCAAATACAAAATTTTGACTATTTTTGTACACAAAAAAAAAAACACATATAAGGTGTAATTTTTTTTCTTATTTTTGCATTACCTACATAAGCAATTCCAACGTATAAAAAAAAAACCATTGAATACCAAAAATATGTAAGAGAGAAAAAAAAACGCATATCATATAAACCATCAATAAAAATATATTGTGTAGCCTCCCAATAATACAAAAAAAAAATCACCAAAAATAAGAAGGTAATTTAAGAAAAAAAACTAATTATTAAGAAAAAAAAATCACTTTTACTAAAATTTTAATGGTGATCCCATCCATCATCATAAAAAACAATTACTTTTTAATCCGGTTAATAATGTTATATTATTCGAGTACATTTGGTATTTCGAGTACGAGTACAAATATATTAAGCACACCATCAACCATATCAAATCTATACCCAAAAGATTATTCGCTCAGTTCGACTTTTTCTATTTTACAATAATATTCTGAAATCGAATATAGATTTTAGTAATGAAACGTCAGAAGAACTGCCATTTTACAGAAGTACTGCTTCACAGAGCACCTCATTATACAAAGCAACTCTTATTATACAAAATAACACTTTACCACTAGTGCAACATTTAAAAAAGGCATATACTAAGCTAATTTTGTCTATAAAAATTTTACGTTACTTATGTTCGAATAATATAAAATTTCGAACTTATTCGAACTCATTTCTGTCTATCACTGCTCATAATATTTAAACTTCAATACATTCTAAATTTCCGCTGAGTTTTCTAAAATTTCCGCCGAGAGAAGAGAGAACAAGAATGTATATTTGCCAAGAAAAAAACATATAAGAGAGAGAGTGTCAATTTGTCAAATCCTCAGATGAAATAAACCAAAGAGTACACGCATCGAGTTTGCCGAAACACTCAACTATAATTCGCAATTTTACAAAACAAAACCCTTGCTTTAAATTTCGAAATTCTCCAAAATCTATAGTATTTGTACTCGTACACGTCTATAAAATTTTAATATCAATAAGTGAGGTGATAATTAAATGTTAAAAACATAATAAAAATAATTAAAAAATTTGTTTTTTTTTAGTTTATTTACTTTTTTGTTACCGCAAAATTGAAGGCGAATTCATTTATGTATGTACAATGAAAATACATGAACAAAAATTATCTATTGAAATTTCAAATATCGTAAATTTTAATAATTAGCATTATAGGTAGTAATAATAATGCATTTGACATTATTTAACCTTAAACAGCACAATTATGACTGTCTCAATATCTACGTATTTGTATTACTCGTAGTATGACAGAGGAAGAAAGAGAGAGAATGACATTTTACTCTAATTTTATTATTTAAAATCTTTACAATTTAAAATAAAAAATAAATTATAATATAATGATAATCTCTTAATAATGATCAATTAGAGCTATTAAAATTTTCAAACATAAAAATCAAACATTTTTAACCAAATGTGTTTTTTTTTTTTTTGTCATTTTAAATGTCACTTTAATGCAATTAACAATATTGTTTGTTAAAATTTTTTTTTATTAGCTGTTGAAATGTTAATCGTAAATTTCACCTTCATTATTATTTGATTTTTTTTTCTTATTTTGTTAATGAAGATTTATAATTAATGTAGATGGTTTTGTTAAATTATTTAATTTAAATTAGTTAAAAGACTAATTTGAAAATTAATTTGAAAAAATAAAAATTTTATTTCGATTCGCCGGAAAATATGCAATTTTTATGGAAATTCCTATTAATTTTTACTTAATTATTCAATGGATGAGATGGTAGTCCCTTATATTACTCTCTCACACACTTTTATATTCTCTGTACTATCATCATACTGTTTTATGTTCTCTTACTCAGTGTTAATTTTGTAATCGTTCCGCGTGCGAGGAATCACTGAAGGAGAAATTGAGAGAAAATTGTATAATTACTATCGGGGCGATCTACCTCGTAGGGATTTTAATTATTCATTATGAGATTTTAGTATTTGGCAATTTTGAAAATAGCAAATGACAATAATGGCAAAACACCTACTTAGAGCTCATTTTAATCCCGTATATTATTTTGTAATTTTGAATTTATTAATATAATTAAAATTCAATTAATATTAAAAATTAGCATAATTAATTTTAACTTTAAAAAAAAATATTAATTGATCAAGTTACCATTTTTGAATTTTAAAAGAAATTCTCAAAATTTTTTGATTAATATTTTGATTAACAATTATTATTAATTCACAATATTGAATAATAATTAGCAATAATATATAGAGAAAAAGTATAGATTTACCTTAAAAATAATTCGAATAATTCAGACAATAATTTTTTTTTCGAATATTATAGTTTAACAAAAATTTCTTTTTATTGTTATATCTTCTTTATAACTGGTCAAATATCCAAATATAATAGAAAAAAACAACAGCATTTATGTTTTAGTACCATTATTAACACGGAAATTAATTTTTCATCATATTTATTCACGGTTACCAATTTGTAGGTACTTATAATATTTTTTTTCCAATAAATTCATCTATCATAATTATATAAAACTATAAGATAATAATTATCAAATAAAAAATATTATTTCTAAGTATGTAATGTTATTAAATTTTTAAGCTCCTGTAATTAATTTTCGGGGAAAAAAAAATTATAATTGAAAAATCATTCTTTTTTTTTATTGATTACTTATTCTATCGATGACTAATATGACAGTACTTATTCGAAAAATGTAATTCAAAAATTTGTAATCAAAATTTTCGTCAACTATACTCAAACAATTAATTGTTAAAAAAAAATTAGGAATTTAAAGTTTAATATTAATCGGTACATAGTACTTAAAACAAGACTATTACTTTTGTAGTCAAACTTACGAATGACATTTGAATTATGATTGGCACTTCTGATTACAGTCTTCTATAGTTAGAATAACGGAGAAGTATAGGCTCTAAAACAAATGATTTTAGTTGTTGCGATTTTCGCGATTTAATACTATGTCATACAATGTTGAAGTTAAAGATGATAAAGTAATAATAATTTTCATACTATACAGGAAATTCTGTGTACATTACATACTCTCTTACCTTTCCGATCATATAATACTTTCTTTAATTTTTATTTTACAGAGTTCTCTTACACTAAATGTATGAGACAGAATAAATAATATTATTAGTAAAAATTTTCGAATCTGTAATGTACATATAATAAATTACTGAATATAATGGAACTAGAAAAATCGAATTATAGATCCTAAATATATTGCTAATATTAGTTTTTTTTTTTATAAAAATCGAAATTCATGCTTAATGTGGGCGTGAAATTTTTATTTACAATATAATTCATCTTTCGACTTGTTTGCATGAAATAGCTAAATTAACGAATGAGAATCACTTAACCCAAAATCTGCACTAGAAGGGTAGCAAATATTAACAATATCTAAATCCGAAATCTAAATACGAAAAAGGGGCTTATTACAAGTTACAATGAGTTTATAAGCAATTTAATAACGTTATTCCATCAATCAAACATTTGTTGCCTTATATAGTAAATTTGAGAGAGAAAATTCAACACACAATCTAAATCAGGCAGGGTTTGCAGTACACTATCAAATATTGTTGATTAAACTTTCATAGGTTAACATTTATATCAGTTTGTCAAACTTGATTGAGCGTCATACAATTCTTATCGAACATGTTGTACTCGTATTATATCTAATTTTTTCAATAGTTTTTTCTTTGTTAATTACCAATTGGACCAAACTCTTTTAAGTATTAAATCTATCATAAACGTTAAGAAAATTCAATTTTTTCTTAAATTTATAAGAAGAAGAAACAGAAAGAACACAGCAACAAAAAAAAATTAATTCTCACCTGTTATGGTGGCGTCAAATTAACCGAAACAAATTTTTTTTTTTATTATTGTAGATGTTTGATTAATTTTTTGAACATTTATGGCAATTGAATTTTAATTCTTTTCATCTCAATTATATGATAATTGTTAAGTAGTTTCAATAATTTTGAACAATAGAACAAGAAAAAAAAAATTAATAAAAATACAAACTGACGGAAGTCTTTTTTATTATATTTGAAAATTTTGTGTATAATACAACATGTATGTTTGTACATATTGTATAAAGATATTTATATCCTTGGACACCTTGGAACACTGTTTATTCATGTATGTATTTATGTACTTTGTTCAGGTATATGAGAAAAAATATATATATATCTAATCTAAAACCGCAATTTATCATTAATTTTATTTTTGCATTCTTTTGTTTTATATTTGAACGTTTACCGCGTTGCCCATTTTTTATTTACTCGCGCCGGGATTATTTCCAAAAAAAAAAATATCATTGCAATAAATTAAAATATTGACAGTTTTAAATAAGATTTATTGATTAAAAAATGATTTATAGAGTAATGAGATAGAGAGAGGAGGACAAGAAACTGGTAATTTTTGAACATAGAAGATTTTTTTTGCATATAAACATAGAACATTTTGGTATCCATTGAGTAATAAAACTGGAACCATCATTAAATTTTATTAGGAATTATTGTATACGTAATAATTGAAGGATATTTTTCTATAATTCTGCAAAAAAAAAAAATTGGAG